TTTATTTGTCTCCATAACATAGTTTTTTTTGGGAATTTTTTGAAAACTTTGTTTTTTTTTGTTTTTTTTTTTTTTTTGGTCCGCGTTCGGCCCGAACGGCCGAACGCCTTCCGAAGGGGTCCCGTACGTTCGGGCGTTCGGGTTCAGGCGTTCGGCCCGTCCCGAACGCCGACAACCCTGCTAATACTAATACTAATAATAATAATAATAATAATAATAATAATAATAATAATAATAATAATAATAATAATAATAAAATTAATAATAATAATAGTAATAGTAATAATAGCAATAGATGATGATATGGAAAGGTACATGGAAAAGCACATGTAGTCAAAGAAAGCTCAAAGCAAAGACATTTCAAAAGAAAGTTCAAAAGAGACATTTCAAAAGAAAGCTCAAAGCAGAGACGTTTCAAAGACGAAGATAGTCATCTCAGTTTGAAAGTTGAAAAAATTACACACAGTCGTGAGAGAACGGCGTCCGCAACGCACGTTTCGGCAGCTGCCAGGCTGCCTCCTCAGGGGGTTTCCCACCAAAAAACTTCACCCGAAACTTCACCGACTAACCCTCTTCCGTAACCATCGCTACGCGACATACTGGATGCCGCACAGTTCTAGCTACGTTAGTCCCGTCACAGAGGTCGACTATCCTATCAGTCATCCTATTTATCGCACAGCACAACACCGAACACACAAACTTCTACAGTACAGGACCTATCTGTTCGGACACAGCAGCGGGCATTACTGACCTACGGGCCACAAAAGGCCTGGCCGCAGATAGACAGGCAAAACTGATTATAACACCGTCCCGATAACGCCGTGAGCCCAAGCAAGACCCAGGACCCACCCTATCTAAACAGGATAGCCCAAACCAATCCCAGCCTATCCCGCGCCAAATCAGACAACCCAAAAACCTTTCGAACAATATACCCCAAGACCAAGTTCAATACATCCCTGTCCGAATACTACGAGTCAGATGGTCCCAAATTCTCACAGTTAAAATCCGCGTACACACCACACCGTTCATGTAATATCTATTAGATAAGAACACTCCATGCATATCAATCTAAACCTAT